GCACCCGTCTGCATCATTAGCCTAAGCCTGTTTATCTCTTCAGGAGTAAAAGCTGCAGCTGCCGTTGCCTGGCTAACATGACTTCCATCTGAGGTATCACCACTGTAACTTACCTCTGTGGAAGAGTCTCCTGAGCTAGTTTGAGAAACAGACCCAGCAAACCTTGGTGAATTGGTTTGGGCTCCTGCAGAACTGCCACCTCCATCAGCTTCCTTCTTCCTTTTTGCTCTCCAGCACTCATCTACCACATGTCCAGGCCTCTTACAGTATATGCAGTACTTCCTGCCTTGTCCCCTTTGTCCTGGTTCCTGAGGTGCTCCAGCTGCTAAAACTACACTTTGAGCTTTCTTTCCAGTACTACCTTTCTCAGCCTTCAATTTCTGTTCATACTGGAGTAAATCATCAACTGCTTCAGAGACACTTGGTAAAGGTTTCTGTGAAAGCAATTGACTCTTGATGATCTCAAAATCAGGATTCAAACCCCTCAGGAACCTAATCAGATAATCTGTTTCTTGTCTCTCTGTATAAGCCACAACTGCATCACAAGGATTAGGATTCCCTGGAGCACAATTGCAAGCAACAATAGGACTGAACTGCAAGTACTCTTCCATCAGCCCTTTAAACTCTGTGTAATACTGGTTAATAGACTGAGTTCCTTGCTTGCACTTATGTATGTCATCTTCCAGATTTGTGATTCTTATAACATTGGGCTTCACATACCTTCTCTTCAATTCATCCCACAGAACTCTAGCATTCACATGACTCATAACCAACCTTCTGAGATCCTTGTTCAGAGAATTCAGGATCCATGACAGCACAGCAGTGTTACATCCATCCCACAAAAGAACATTTGGATCGGTTCTAGGAGGCATAGGTATCGTCCCATCAATGAAACCCAACTTGTGTTCCATTTTCAACCCATGATAACAGAACGACTCCACAGAGTGTAATTACTACCATCGAACACCTCAGACCCTATAGATTGATTCAAGGCCTCATTGGGATTCAGATAGTAGGGATTACCGAACGTTATGACGTCATTTCTAGCTCCAGCAAAGAGTTGTTGCTGCTGATCGTCGAACGTCCCGAATTGGAAAGCGCGAGGACCTGACCCATTCCTCCAGATTGACTTCCCGCTGACGAAAAAGTCTGGCGTGCTTGAGATCCTTGAGATCCCGGCGGCGGCGGAGTGTTGGCCATGATAACCCTAGTTGCTTGACCGCTCTAATACCATATGAATTTAGATGGGTTTGGAGAATTGGCAAACCCTCAGAAGAGATTGAGAGCTGCTCTGCTTTCATTATATAGCAGTGTGCTCTGTAAACCCAGTAGCACCTTAACGACAGCCACATGGCAGAATGCCATTGGCAATTACAAAAAGTAACAGTGTCTTAGCAACGGCTAACTAGCCTTAGGAAAACGACATCGTTCAAGTAAATAACTAACAGAAAGGAAACTTAAAACAGAAACGTTTCTTCTGTGAAACTCCTTCTTCTCTTCTCCAATCCAGATCGCATCAGGACTTCTTCCGCATCCTTCCACTTCAGTTGGTTGACACACTCTTCCGTATTCATAACATTTTCACATTGTGGCTAAATGAAAAAGTTGCCATATGCCAAGTTGCTGGTGATGTGAATGAAGAATTCAATATCACTTCATTTCATCTCATGATGTGGAGAATAAAAGAGACAGGTTATACCAGTGCAGACTTGCCGGACAAAGCCGAGTCAGCAACATCTTTGGCGTTCCAGATGCTCTTGTCCTTGGATTTTATGAACTCAGACATTTGGGGGGCCTATCTGAATCCAACAATGGTATCATAATCCTCGGATAGAGGGCGAGTAAAGAAAACAATTGCAGCATCTATGAAGGACATCAGTATGAATAATAATGTGGGACGTTACTCAAACAGAAATCACGAGGTTGTCAAAGATATCAACACGCTCAGACACAATCCTAAGCCGTGCATCAGCTTGTGTCAATCCAGAAACAGTCAACAAAACCTCAGTTGGACTTATTGTTAGAGAGTGGTATAAGATCCAACATAACCTTCTCCCAACAACTCGAGTTATTGGGACCAACTGGTTCATGACATGGTATCAGAGCCTCGAACAAAAAGGTCATGTGTTCGAATCTCCACGACCCCCAATATTAACCGTTGTCTTTCAAGCACATGGCATGGCTTTCGTTTGAGGGGGCGTGTTAGAGAGTGGTATAAGATCCAGCAGAACCTTCTCCCAACAACTCGAGTTATTGGGAGCAACTGGTTCTTGACATGGTATCAGAGCCTAGAACCGAAAGGTCATGTGTTCGAATCTCCACGACCCCCAATATTAACCGTTGTCTTTCAAGCACATGGTATGATGGGCCTGTGCAAACTTCAAGCCCATGGGTTGACTTTCGTTTGAGGGGGCGTGTTAGAGAGTGGTATAAGATCCAACATAACCTTCTCCCAACAACTCGAGTTATTGGGACCAACTGGTTCATGACACTTATATTCATGTGCATTTGGAGTTTCCTTTCCCCTAGCAAATCTCAGAACTTTGGAAAAAAGCCAAAAGGGAGTGAACATACGAGATAATGGCGCGGCTGATGAGTATCGGCTGTATCGCTCCGGCTTTCTTGATTCCATCCTTAAAAAATTTGACAGGCATTAAGCGTTTCAACTTTCATAACAACACAATTGTTAGTGTTGTGGTATATGATCCACGATTGAACCTCTCCCAACAACTCGAGTTATTGGAATCAACTGGTTCTTGACATGGTATCAGAGCCTTATGTTACCGAGAGGTCTTGTGTTCGATTCCCGGTGACCCCCATTTGTTAAGCACATGGTATTCTTGTCTTCAGACCTGTGCAAACTTCAAGCCCTTGTAAATGACTTTCGTTTGAGTTAGTGTTGTGGTATATGATCCACGATTGAATCATCCCGAAAATCAAGAAAGTGAAACAGACTCCCAACAACTCGAGTTATTAGGATCAACTGGTTCTTGACAACAATAACATGTTCATCCCGAAAATCAAGAAAGTGAAACAGAGGGTTTCCAGGGAAAGTAACTGTAAGCATTAATCTCATCAACCATTGAACCCATTTTCAGACCATCTTCGGCCAGACACTCTTCAGGAGACAGACATTTGGTGCAGGATGATTCATTTAATTCGATACATAACAACAATTACAGAGAAATATCATAGAACTTAATGATCACTCGAGCCCCACCTGAAATTGGAGCCACTGAAGCCAGAGAAAGAACAGAGTCCAAACAGCATCAAATCCCTTCTCAAAACTCCGTTTCCCGAACTGGGTCTTGAAGAAGAAGACAAGGAAGAAGAAGAATCACCACAAGAGCTACAGACTACGGTAACCTTCTCAGCTTTTAACTTGTACTTCTTCTGGTTTAGCAAGATTCCGCTCTCGTTCTTGCCACCCAATCCAAATCAACCCCCAATGAGAGAGATTAAAAAATCCATCTTGATAACAGAACGACGAAGCGAAAGAGAAAAGAGATCCACCTGAATAGAAGGAGCTGCCGCCCATGGTGGGAAGCGAACAGAGAAGGCGAGCAGAGAAGCGCCATAGCTGTTGCTTCTCGGGTTTGTTTCACTTCAGTGCTTCCACTGCTCCTTCACCTCATGTGCACTGCTCATCCACCGTCTCGTATTTCACTTCTTTGGGATAGCCATTGGACGACATCGTATCGTCGTATGTATAATTCAGTCCATATACTAGTGATCGTTGCCATTTCAACCCTAAGATATCGTTGCTTATCATTTCCATCCAACAGATAAGGACCGTCTTCTGGCGGTTAGCCGGTTACACGTAAATCCCCGTCATCTGACGGACCCAGGAAAGGCGAGCTAGCTAGTAAACGGTCGTGGACGGTCACGGTCGTGTCTTTGAGAAGCCTTTCTTTTCAATTTCGCTCTCAATCATTTCTTCTCCTTTAAATACTTGCTTGCTCTCTGTTCGTCTCGAGAAGAAGCCGAAGCCAAACAGCTCCAAAAGCCAAGCTCTCGCTCCAATCGATCTGAACGACCAACTCTTGGCGGGGAGGGAAAATAATTCCGCTTCCAGTTTCATTTCCGGCGATCTTTCCAAATTCTCGCACTTCCGCTGTCGAGGTACATCTGCGAGCAATAATCATCGTTGTTCTTAGCTATGATGCGTTGTTCTTCGTTACGTTCTAAACCGATGTTTACTTTGTTGGAAGGGCGTGCTCCGCGCTTCGATCTCTGTTGTTGGACTCGGAATCCAGTCTGATCTTGTTTTGAATTTCCCGCGGCGGATACGTAGTGTAGAGTAGGGTTACGAGTATGAGAAATGAATCGTAAAAGACGATCTCTCGCTTGTTTATTGTACAGTCTATGGTTTTATTCATGTATAGTTACAGTTTATGATTGATGCGTGTGGTTTGTAGTTTGTTTTTGTTCGTTTTGGTTAAGTTTCTCTGAAGGTTGAAGAAATTTGTTATGAAGACTGCTTTCTTCAACTGCTAGTCTTTGTATGATTGCAGTTGAGATTGTTTTGGCTATCTTTGTAGTTTCAGCAGTTTTTAGTGGCTGAATGATTGACGAGGATGCGTAAGAAGTGTTTATGTAGCTAGATTCCTGCCATTGCTTTAAGGCTCGGTGACAATGGCGGATTGGTTTGACTGTGTAGTTGTAGTGGTTAAATCTTACTTGAGAACTCCCTGCTGATCTTTGTCGACCATTTTAACCCGTCATTTTCTTGTGAAAGGATACGGTATGCTTAAGAATTAGTCAGGGAATAGCCTGGCTCTAGGATAGTGGATAAGCATTGGTATAATCAAAGTAGAAGATGATTTTGTTGGTCTTGAATTGTCCTTTGTTTGCCTAGTACTAGGAACCTTTCCTTTTGAACTTCTGTAAATTATGAATATCCTAGCAGAAATCCTGTCACATTTGCTCATGATGTTTAAATTCATTTTTTTGTGTTGTTTGTTATGGGTACTCAGTGATTCATATTCTCAATTGAAGCAATGAAGCCAGGAAATTCTAGTTTGAACCCATATGCAGCCTCGTATATACCTCTTTTTAGGAGGGAGGTAGTTGAACATACTCAGTCTCCAGGAATGGTTGCAAAAGCTCCACAGAGTGGCAATCGAAATGTGTGGTATGGACCTGGTTATGCCGCTGAGAACAGGCAGCATGGGGTAGCTTCTCCAATTACTTCAGCCTCGACAGAGAGCCACTATGGGCATGGAGTCTATGGTTCATCATCACAACTTCATGATGGAAGAACCAATAAGCAAATTATGGATGAAGAGTCTGACTTTGAGTTGGAATTTCTACAGATGACGTTTCCTGGTGTATCTTCCGAATCACTTATGGATGTGTATGCAGCTAATAATGGAGACTTGGAAAATACTGTTGACATGCTTAACCAGCTTGAGGTAAGTGAAGAGTAGCCTTTGAATGGTTTCTTCTCCTTAATGGTTGTTCCACTGTGGGATGCTCTTGGCTTCAGTGCTGACTGTCCTGTAAAATAGTAGTTATCTCATCTGGCATGGTTGATGCTTCCTCTGGCAGTCTGGCTAGATTGTATTTGATGTCTAAAGCATTTCTTAATCTAGAGATCTGAATTAGCTTTCTTTTATTGCTCAATGTCTGACTATACCACTTATATGTTGCTCTATATACCTTTTTACTGTTTTGCTCTTTGTTTAATTGTTCTTTCTTATATTTGCTCACTCTTTTTTTCTCAATTTCCTTTGTATGAGTAGTTTGTGTATTTATTCATCTCTCTTTACTTATTGTAATCGTTTAGCTCTACCAAGGCTGCTAGTGCTACCCATCCAGTGAAGTGCTTTTCTTGCTTCTTATTTTAATTTATAACTTTGTATATTTTCCGAAGGCTTTAAGGCTGTAATTTAGGTTGTGTTATGCAGTGAATGTGAAGAGGAAAGGTTTCTTCTCTTTAGGTCAGGAAGCTAAAGGAGAAAGGTTGATTTTGTGTAGGACCTACCACAACTGTTTGTATGTTTCTTCCATTGTTTTTTTTCTTAATAAGTGGTAGAAAACTATGGAGCGTTTTCTTGGATTTCTTGTTTTCTAGCTTTGGTATCTTCTCGCAAGATGCTGCCAGGCGCTTCTACTGGACTTCAAACTGATCCCTTACTCGGACACTTTTCCCTTCCATTCATGGTGTACTTTATTTATTGTTTGCGGCTTCTTTGCCATTTGGTTAGGCTACTATTGAATTTCAGCATATGCTAAGACCTAACAAACATAGACTCTTGTTGTGGCGCTAATGACGTGATATCTGTTTCTTCTTCTGCTAGTTGACAATTGCCTTATGTTTTGTTTTCCTTGTCCTCCTGCAGGTTGACATTCCTCTCCCAGATTCTCTGGATATCTGGGATGTTTCGGAGCCAGTGTCATCGGTGAAACAGAAAAGCTTCGTAGGTGAAACCAGTGCCTCTTCATCTGGTTCCTCCTCTGTCTCGGGCCCCGCAGTCTCAACAACCTGATTCATTTATACATGGGGACAAAAGCAGAGCAAATGCTGAAAATGTTGTTCAATCTCCTCTTTTGTTTCACCCCATTTATGTGGATAAAGGATTAGTACATAGATAGAGGAAATCTGGGTTAAATGGGGAAAAACTACATAGAATGTGTTGTGGTACAGAGTTTGCCCGGGTGGTTTTCTTTTGATTGGATTCACAGGCATACAGGTTTCAGGTGTTGAATCTTCCTAACTGGAAGGTTGGTCATTTTGGGTTCTGCAGTTTTCCGTGTTCTTCGGGTTTGCTCCCCGATACCGATAGGGTGTAACAACCGTCGAGGATGACAGTGGATGGTTTGGTTGTTGTAATTGCAGTGCCATGTTTGGATTATACATAGTCAAGTGCTGAAAGATTTCCCATGATAGCCCACGCACTATCTGACAATCATTTCTGTTAATCGTAAGTCTTCTCTCATTTGAAGAAATGGTGGATTTAAGATTCGAAATGTACGAGTAATAAGCATGGCTCGTACCAGTCAGCGTCAGTAACCACGATTGATCCTTCTTGTAATCATGACAAATCCTCTACATCAATGGCCTTGCTATATCAAAGACTAATCATGTTAATGAATCCTTCTACATTCGCTACAAAAGAATTATGCTTAATCCTTCGTACGTGTAACTAGTGAAATCTGAACGCTAAACTATCCTCTTCCACTTCCATATTCCATATGGATTACTACTCCTATAGGGCAGAACCTGGTTCTTCTAATAGGTGAATCATGGGCCACGCTGGCCTACTGTATTGTCACGCCGGTGATTGAAGATTTTCGAAAAAAGAAGTGGGCTAAGGATCCGCGGAGGCCCATTTTCGTCGGTCCATGAAAATGCTAACACTGCCCACCGCCAACGTAACTTTAATTCCCACCCCCAACTCTTAAACCCTTCCTTTCCAACTTCCATGAATGCCCATTGTTCTAGCTTTTGCTCCTACGCGCATGGTTCGTCGCCCAGCTCCCGCGCTCCCCGCCAACCTTCTGGGCTCAAACGTCAACCATTTCTTCTCCTCGCGGCGATGCCCTTATGCTCAGACTCTGTAATTAGGTTCTGCAGGCGTGGCCTTCGCACATACTCCTCAGTCATTTTCCCCAAACTTGCTTCTTTCTCTTCTTCCTCTTGTGCGCTGCAAACAATCGATGGTGGTGGGGAAGTCGAGTCGACCGTCAGTTCCAGTTACGACGACTTGCAGCGTGGAATGCGAGGCCACGCTGCTTCAGGCGACCTCCGGCAAGCTCTGTGGACTTGGAATTTGATGAGGAACTCCCCCGGTAAGCCAACAGTTAATGATTTCAATGCTTTGGTGCACAGTTATTTGAAGTGTGGGAATCGTTTCTCCGATGTTTTGCTGGAAGTTTGTCTCCGAATGATGGAAAGCTCTGAGATAGCACCGAATGCCATTACTTTTAATTTGATTGTTAATGGCCTGGTGGCAGTTGGGAATTTCAGAGCTGCGTTCTTTGTTCTGGGGCAGATGTTTACCAGTGGGTTCCTACCATCGTTTACACTTTTGTCCAGATGGTTGAAGAAATGTATTGAATCGAATAGTTTAACGGATTCCCTAGGTGTTTTTGATGTTATGTTGATGATGGACTATGTCCCTACGGAACCATCTGTCAATATGTTGATTTGTATGCTTAGCAAGAATGGAATGGTAAAGGCAGCATATTACGTGTTCTCCTCCCTTCTTGCTAAAGGTTGCTTTTTTGGGGTGTACACTTTGAATCCGATTCTTTGGGCGCTGTGTAAGTCTGGTAAGACCTATACTGCTCTGCAACTGTTTTACTTGATCAAGAAGACGGGTCTTGGACTCTATGTTTGCTCTTATACTGCTTTGGTTTATGGATTTTGTAAAGAAGGGTTGTGGGAAGATGCTTGGTGGTTTGTTGATGAAATGCAAGATAGTGGTTTGAAGCCTAGTCTCGTTACATACACTGTGTTGGTTAAGTTCCTTTGTGTAAATGGGAGGGTAGAAGAGGCATTGAGGTATCCGAGTTTAATGGAGACGGAAGGATGCAGTCCAGACTTACTAGTCTATAATATAATTCTTCAAGAACTCTCTCACCTGGATAGAGTGTTTGACATTACTGTGCTCCTAGATATGATTGTATCTAAAGGATACTCTCCTGATGCTTACACCGTAGCTGTGCTAGGAGGAGGCCTTTTAAAAGCAGGAAGAGTTGGTGACTGTGTTGGATTTTTGCTGGATACCATTTCAGAGGGCTATCCTATTGATGTTGCTGTTTATAATATCTATCTCCAGTGCTTATGTAGCCAGAGCAGAACAACTGAAGCATTGTATTTGTTAGAAAGAATGACTGGTGCAGGTTTCAATCCGAGCAATGTGTCGTATAATATCATTCTTAATGGGTTTTGTAGGGAAAACAAATTTAGCAAGGCTGTGACACTCTTGAACCAATTCTTGCCTGATGTAGTCTCTTTTAATACAATTTTGTCTTGGGCTTGCAGACAGAGGAGTTCTGAGATTGTTGAATGGATCTTGTGTCGTATGCAGAATGAAGGTATTACCCATGATGTCTTCACATCAACTTGCCTCATTCGATATTTGTGCAGAGTTGGAAAGGTTTCAGAATGTTTGAAGCTTTTGGATAACCTGTTGCTCAATGGCCCTAAACCAACCATAGTTACTTTTAATGTGGCACTGCATGAGCTTTGCAATAGTGGTTCGCGTGAAATAGCTTCCCAAGTCTTTGAAAAGTTCAGCAATTCTGGATTTCTGCCCAATGCTGCCTCATATGATATTATGTCGCGAGCTTATGCCAGGACGCATGCAACTTTTGCGCCTGTTTCATTTGTAAAGGGGTATGGATGAACTGACTGAAATTGAGCTTGTTATACGTGTCACTATTTAGTGTACTTTTAGCGGGACGGAAGCTCTGATGTGGAAAATCTGATCACAGCTTTGGCAAGTCCATAACCATTACTGGGAGTTATGTTTTGGTGATGTAAAGTGAAGTATACTCTGTTGCTGCTGGGTAACATGGTGATTGAAGCTTGTGCTAATGATGTGATTCTGAAATCCCTGATTAAGTTGGATGAAGGTCTTCACAAAGCCGTGGACACTTAGAGAAATTTTACTCATTATAAGTCGAGAGAAGAAGACATATCAGAAATACACAGAGAGGAATTACTCGTTAAATCTTGCATGCGTTCAGATCATTTTACATCTTCATTTGCTGTCAAGCATGCCCAGCTTTCTGTAGAGAGAAAGCTTCTGCTAAGCTCAAATAATCAAGAACTAGGTATGGAGGTTATTCATCCTGAAGATTTCATGTCACACAAAATATCTGTTTGTTGGTTAATCTTTTCCTCCTGCATTGCACTGTTCACCCCTAATGGATTGCATTGTCCACATGGAAACAGTATGAAATCCTCCAACCTGCGGAAGCTTTAATCTTGTGATGCGGACCCCCAATTGACACTTAAATGGAACCCCATGGTGTTTGGTCAGTTTTCTCGAGTAGTTATGGTATTTTACATGTTGTTTTATGGTTATGCTTGTGTCAGTAAAGCTGCTTTGTTTAGTCTATCTGACTATTTGATGCTGCAGATATTGATGAAATTGAGATTGGTTCTTTTCAGAAAGGTAACCCCTGGGCAGATTCCATCCATTGAAGTGTGTGGATATGAGAGAAGTGTTGCTGATGGATTTGTCTAGCTATTCATACTTGCTGGTAAGGAGAGGAAAATAGTTTCGTGTTAAACGTTGGTAACTAGATTGGCTAGTGATCGTTCTATGAGAAAGGATCTACTTTGAGTGCTGGGTTTGATAACATAGTATAGTATGAGAATTTATTAAATCCTTGTCTTGTTCCTGAACCCTTTCAAGTGAAATTTACTTGATATGTATATACTTTATTTATCAAGTGAATATGAGTTTGGATCCATGGATCTAGTGGTAATGGTGCTCCATATTTCAGCATTTTCCGAAGGAAGTTCTTGCTTGAACCATACAAGAAACGGAATGTGATAAGATTCTCACATCATAAAATGACAGTTGGCAGGTCACGTTCTTATTGCTGAAGCCTTGGTTGGCAAAGCGGCCGATTGCTTCCATACCTTCTCTTGACCTGGTAAACCTCTCTCTCTCTCTATCTCTCTATCTCTCTCTCTCTCTCTCACACACACACACACACACACACATTATAGAGGATGCTGATGTGGAATGTAACAGGCTTTCTTGTTAGCAAAAAACTGAACAGACAGTTGGTGGCATTAAAGTACCGTAGGGTGAGATTCCATTTCGGCATTTCCAACTTCCAATGCTGGTGTTATCATTATTATGCCTATTCTGAATTTATATATGTGATCGATTCCTTACTTCACTGTTCCAATGGGAAGAAACAAAACCCAAAAACAAAAAGCAAGATGCCAAATGGACAAATCGTGAGTTTTCTTCTTTTCTTTTGAATCTCCAAACTTGCCTACTTTTTGTAGCTACTCTTGCTCGATCATATGGGTGATGAACTCAGACCTCTACCAAAGATGGCTTCCCATTCCCCTTCTTGTCAATACAGAAATAAAATATCTATCCCCTACCCTCTTTAAACCTTTTTCAGATATAATAAATCCTTTCGGTATCTCAAAAATCTTCTGGAACAGAAGGAAAACCCCACAATTTACCATTCCATTCTTTCTTCTTGTGGTATAAGAACAACTTTCATGATCTGGGTCTGGGAGAAAATGTCCTAAATTTTACTGCTTTTTTCTTTCGGAGTTTTGTTGAACCCAGGAGGAAAGAGTAAAACAAAGAGAAAGAAATGGGTGTAGATTACTACAGCATATTGAAGGTGAACAAGTGTGCATCAGAGGATGATATGAAGAGATCATACAGAAGATTGGCTATGAAATGGCACCCTGACAAGAACCCCAACAACAAGAAGGAAGCTGAAGCTAAATTCAAGCAGATCTCTGAAGCTTATGATGTAACCAAATTAAACCCAGAACCCAATAAATCAACAGGATAATTTCTGTATATTTCCTTCCTACTTATTCCAAAACGTTCTCTGCTTGCTTTTTCCTTTTCTCCAGGTGCTAAGCGACTCACAAAAGAGGGCAATATATGACCAATATGGAGAAGAAGGGCTGAATGAAATCCCACCATCTGGATTCGGAAATGGTCCAAATGGAGCAAATGGATTCAATTCCAGGAATGCTGAAGACATATTTGCAGAGTTCTTCGGGAGCAGCCCGTTCGGGTTTGGTGGGGGACCAACAGGAGGTGTTGGTAGATCATCGTCCAGATTCCAATCAGAAAGTGTTGCAACCGCGACAAATGGGATGTTTGACGGCAGTAACATGTTCAGAAGCGAAGGAACAACAACCACCACAGCTTCTAGAAAGCCTCCCCCTGTGGAGAGCAAATTGTCATGCAGTCTAGAGGAGCTCTACTCTGGCTCCACCAGGAAAATGAAGATCTCCAGAACTGTAGTTGACTCCCATGGGTAATTTTTCATAATATGTTTGCTCTGACTTTCAAGTTAGCTTGTTTCAAGTTGTTTACCATTTTTAGTCGAAACAAGCACACCCTTATCGAGTATTTTCTTCCCAATCGTGCTTGTGACAGGAGGCAAGCGCAAGAAACTGAGATACTTACGATAGATGTGAAACCAGGATGGAAGAAGGGAACAAAGATAACATTCCCAGACAAAGGGAATGAGCAGCCCAACCAGCAGCCGGCAGATTTGATTTTCATGATTGACGAGAAACCTCACAATGTTTACAAGAGGGATGGGAATGACCTAATGATCCACCATCGGGTCACCCTGGCAGAGGCGTTAGGTGGGACCACAGCAAGCATCGACACGTTGGATGGTCGGACCCTGACTGTTCCAGTGACTGACATTGTGAGTCCAGGATGCGAGCTCGTCGTGGCGAGAGAAGGGATGCCGATAGCTAAAGAGCCCGGGAATAGGGGAGATTTGATAATCAAGTTCGAGGTCAAGTTTCCGACGAAGTTGACTAAGGAACAAAGGGCAGGGCTAAAGTGTCTTTTAGGGGGTTGAAGCAAAGACAAATTGGGAGACTTGTGAAAATGTTATGATGTATAGTCAATGCAAGGTTGTAATTAACACACAGGAAAAGGGGCCAAAAGCTTGGTTCATACATCACCTCTCGTAGTTGTGAGATTAAACGTTTTTTCATATCCGATTTTAATCTCATCTCCCTGTACTTCTGATTCTAATTTCCTTCCATTACACACTTCATAGGGCCAGTTACTAAAGTCATTTGTTTTCAGAAATTTCCAATGAATACAACGATTATTCTACCCTTTCTAAGTTGTGCATATTAACTACTGAGAATAGCCACAAAAAAGAAGGAAGACGCTATGTTGAGCTACAGGCGTGACTGCCACAAGCCCACAACACGTTCAGAGAACGAAAGAACCATGAAAAGAAACGAGCAAGTGAAGCTAAAAAGGGTATCTGTCATCTCCTAAACCTTATCTAAAAGAAGAAAGAAACAAATTTATTTACAAAATGAAGGGAAAGCTAAAAGCCTCTACTTTTAGGGGCATCTCTTGACCATTGCTGCCCGTCATAAAACTGTCCTCCATTAGGTTGTTGCTGCTGCTGGTACACGCCCTGAGGGCCCACGGCTTGATCAGCCCACCCACCGCCTTGTTGCTGCTGCTGGTGCCACCCTGGCGGCGGCGGTGGAGGTGGCAGTGCACTGGTCTGATGATGCACAATAGGGTTCATCACCTGAGGAACTGGCTGCTGAATCATACTGCTGCCGTGTACCGCAGTCGGCTGCCGCCGAGCTAAATGGTGCTGGGCATCATCCGGCCGCCACTCTGGCATATCGTCGTCATCGTCGTCTTTCCATGGTTGTACAGGAACCCTATTATCTGTCCAGTTTTTCAAGGGCGAGGAACCCACACCGGGCTGCCCATATCTATGTATAAGTTCTCTCATTTGGTCGACAACAGGACCACGAGGGGAGTTTGACGACTGAAAACTCCGAACACCACCGGGGAAACCCGGCGGCGGCCTATTTGCAGCATTACTATTGAAATTAAACTCAGGCAAGTCATCCTCGTCCCGGGATGATCCACCAGCCACCGGCGGACCAAACCCAGGAGGCACATCGTCGTCGTCATCATCATCAACAACATTAACCGGTGGCGGCCTGGAACGAATGGGTGGTGGAGGAGGGGGTGGAAGGGCAGAGTGTTGATGTTTTGGGTTCCGGTTTTTCGACGAAGAGTGCTGCTGCTTCTTGGAAGCGTCTTTGCTACTATGCTTATGGTGGGGAGATATTATTTGAGGTTTTCTCCATACAACGACACCAATTAGTCCGTTGGCAAGGAGATTAAGGGCGTCCATTTGGTCCTGCGGGAGCACCTTGCTCAGCAGGCCGCATATCCTTGAGTGAGGTGGGCATAAGTAGAGCTCAACTCCAGAAACCGGCTCCGCGAAACCTACTCGTTCGTCTCCTACATAAGACTCTGCCACCTGGGTATCAACAACCATAACTCAATCACCACTGACTCCCAGAACAGTAAGTAGCAAGTTCAACAAGTTACAAGCTTTCACATATATACACTTCGTCTGGTAACTTACCTCTACCACGTTTGCCTTGTCACTTTCAGTCGATCCTTCCTTGCACACAAAGTGAACCGCCTGCATAGAAAGAGTTGAAAGTTTGGAGTCAGCTTAAATCAAATGGGCCCTTTCTATTAGGAGTATATGTTTTACATGCGCCGTTTCTATTCTACATCAGTCTAGTTTAAGCATATTGTTCTTCAAAGACATCAAATTTTGGTTGGTTGGTCGCCTGTCGCACAAGAAAGCATAAAATCGTCACAGGGGTATGCTCACTCAGGATTCACATTTCGTAGGACCACTAATTGCTTTTGTTTTACTAAGCAACGCAGACGTTCCTGGAGATTTTGAGGGCATGCGATTACGCAAGAATTCTAAATTTCGCCATAAGGGTATCGATAGATTCGAACTTTCATCAACCCACAAGTTCATTGTACAAATATATCTCATCGTAAACTCGAGGCGGCAATTCAGCATGATCGATGAAAATGCCTGTCCCTGCCTCGTTACCCAAGCTGGAACACTAGGAGCCAAAGCCCTCTCTCCCTTTTGCTGCTGATGTATGGAATTTAACTGAAATTTACTACAAATAAAAGAAGCCGGGGATGATACCATAACAGCACGACTTCTGGACATTGGGAGCTCTTGCAGGAACTTCTCAAATGCTTCAAGCTTCACTCTCCCCTTTATCTCGATATAGGTAGGCCAATCCTTCGATGGTGTTTTCTCCCCGCTGCCAACAGCCAAAGATTCAGCAAAGTATTGGAATCAGACATGAAGATACAAATCAATCTATCGCAAAGCAGAGCACCAAGAATTCATACATATAGCTCTGCTAATGATACATAATGGAAACTAACATATAACAAAGTAGGATTTAGTGCTTACCTTTTAAAGATGCCTACGAATGACACCATAACTGAAACATTAAGCTGCACTGAGCCTTCCCATACTCGTTCCCCTTTAATCACATCAAGAACAACAGGAGGGGAGACGGCATCTGATTTCACATGATCTTCCTTGCTGGATTCGTCAGCAGCATCTGCCCTCACATTCATCACATCAGTTCTGGCCTTGCCAGAAGAACTCCCAGCGGGATCTTCTGGAGTGGCGACAGGAGACTTGGACTCCGAGCCAACCTGTGAACCATCATCCTTTTCTGGGGTTGTTGCTTTCCCAGCATCCTCTGGCAAGCTTTGGAATGGTGGCTCTGTGTCAAGTGATTCCATAAATTCATCGAGGGAAACAATAGGAGGAAGAAATGCAGCATCTTTGAGCTCATCATCCACCATCAGTCCTTGCATGAAATCAGATCCTTCAGTAGTAGAAGAAATAGTGAGGGTGTAAGAAGCATCCTCGCCCTCTCGGGTTTTTCCCCGGTCATTTGTTTTCTCACCGTTCGGTGTAGGAAACTGTTCTTTTTCTTTCAATTTGGCTTGCTGCTGCGGCTGACTGATGAAACTTGTCCCAACAGCAACCTCTGCTGAGACGACATCCATATCATGTTCAACCTCAACTTGGAATTCACCTTTATGTGTTTTCCTCACAAGCTTTCTGATATCAACCTCTGAATCTGGTAAAACAACCATCTGTGCAAGCTCTTCTGCTTTGGCCATACGCCATTCAGAAAGCTCCTTTGATGCAAGTTCCTCAGCAGTCATGGAGCATAACCTTTCTGGTGAGATTTCTCCAGACATAACTCTTTCTCTCAATTCTGGGTTATTACGATCCTTTAAGTTGAACAAAAGAGACCTGCCTTTCTCTTTGTACTTTTTGTTCACTCCTCCAAACAACTTGAAGAGTTCAGCTTCCACCTCAGATGCCAAAATTTCAGGGTTCTGAACCTGCTTAGAAGCACTATCTTGATCTGGCGAGTTTCGGCCAATGTTGGTTTCATCTATCAACTCCATTTCAGAATCTAGCACCCATGAGAGTCCATTACCCTGAAGAAGGTCATCTTTCACAAAAAAGTTGTCACTAAATGGAATATCCTCAATGCTAACCGTATTCCCTGATTGCTGCTCCTGCAAACCAGTCAGTGAGTTCTGTACTAAATCAGCATCTTGCTTTATGTTATGGGCATTAGTGTTCTCTGACGAAGAAACCCTTGGTTCTGAAGATAGATTGGTACCATTAGCACTGGAAGGTGGTTCCGGCGACGAACCTGCTGCTTGACTCTTGTCTTTCCCACCACCAATGGCCTTGTCTTGCACCAGAGCAAGTGCAGCTGCTAATGACTCTCTCAACTTGGACCTAACAGAAGCAAACGAATCACTCTTCACTTTCGGCGGGGGTTTAATTGGACCAGGTTGACTTCTCTGCACAGATGTAGTACTTTGTGCTCCAGTTTTAATAGGAGCAGTCTTTCTAGGAGGCCCTTGTAGTGGCTGGGATGACGGGGTGTAAGACGGAGACTGCATCTGGGCAGGTGGTTTATTTGTTATAGGCATTGTTGGCTGCAGCCATGGCCTATGTTCATTTAGAGTAAACCGCTTGGGAGCTATATATCTCTGGGGCACAGGGTTCTGAGGTACAGCAGCCCCCATTGGTGCCTTTCTCTTGTTTGATGTTGCTAACTGCTGTGGTTCCATATCCTGCAAAATGGACCCCATGGCATTGGGCTTCTTATCAGGCATCAGGAAGTTCCCAGATGCCATATTATAGGAAAAAGGATCAATCTGTGCAGTCTCTTGTTTGTTGTTGCTAAATACAGTGGTTCCAACTCCTATGGAGGCCGATGTCTGCTGTGAAGCTGCATCACTGGGATGTGAGCCCACCGTTCCCATTTGTATGATGGGAACAGATACTTGTTGCATTGAAGAATCGTGCAAGGAAGCGCCTGATCCAAAACCCATCTGTGTTGAAGGGTTCAACTTGCCTGAAATGTGTTCCAGCTGTTGACTCATTTGTATGCTCCGAATTGGTAGCTGCTGTGAAACAAGATCATTGGACATTCTAACCCAGAATCAGAAAATACTGCAGGACACCTGAAATGTAAAATAAAGATCAACAATCAGCTATACAAACTGGATCAAGGCCATCATAGCCATATAAGCAAAGCAGAACAAGGTGGTCAAACAAAATACGGATTCCTCTGACCAGTATTTGCTGGTAGCCACATCCCTTATATACATTGAATTTTACTCATTGAACAGTAGTTGGTTCATTTTAGCGGAATCTCACTGAAACATCTTGATTCTGATTAACCCTTCAGTTACATCTCATATTTGCTTTTCATTATTGGCAACTAAAAGCAGCCCAATTCTCATTATTAACCAAACCATATCGCAACCATCAAATTGTTTCTCTTTCACTCATGATTCTTTCAAGAAGTCTGCTCTACGCTCTGGGCTCAACGAAGGGCAGTAAAAAACACTTGGCTTTCCACTTGAATCATAAAAACCAATTGAACGCACTATTGTGTTATATAGCCAGCTTAAGCATGCAGATGCAGGGGCGGTGTGAGAGATTAATTCTTCCCAAAGAAAACTTCTCCTATTGCTTCAATATCCTTCAGCCGGACAAAGTTCATATCGGTTTAAGAAAAACAAGAGAATGATAGGTAATTGCACTTTCATATACATATTAATAATAACAATAAAAACCATGCCCAAGTACAGATTCCAACTAAGTGAACACTCCAATATGGTAGTCTTGCATCAGAGTACAATCTCCAGCATTTAGTATGAAGAAGTAGCTGTCAGAACTTCAACCATAGAGTGCCTTGAACTTTTCATCACAATGCTGTTACCACTGAATCAAACAATGGATCACAGTTTAAGAACTTACAGGGACAACTATACACTTGCACAATGCACACCGATGTCATTTTTCCAAACATTCAACAGTATACAAAATTGTGACACGTCCGAGCATGCAAGGCATAGCTGAAGGACAATGACGGAAGTAGATGAAATTCAGATCAGCAAACACCAAAAACTTAACCTTGTGCAAACACCATTCTTGTCAAAGCTAGTAATACTAGGGCAGAGAAGTGACCTAACACAAAAGGTAACCAAGATTTCAGGCAATAGAGGATTCAAAACACAGTTGACATATCATTAAACGATATATCACATAAACATAATCAAATCCATTAAGGATTTGGTGGGCAAAGTAAGGAATGGCAAAATTGCTTAGAAACACTACCTCGCTAACACCAGAATCAGCCAAAGCAAATACATTGCAGCATAATCCATACACTCAGTAATCAACATGCAATTAAACATTGAAAACCAGCTTCTGTAGGCATAAAACTTATTAATTTCAAAGATACAAAAGCTATTAAGATAAGATCAAGACCGAAGAGAAAGCACAGAAGGAGATTAAATACTTTTGCAGATTGGGAAGAATCATCCATAGATGATAACGAAGCTTAACTAGAGACACATCTCAGTCGTTGATACAACCCAGGACCCACTAGAACAATCGAGATAAAAAGGAAAAGGAAACCAAATGAAGAAAAATTACTCAACAAAAAAGATCTAGTTTCTCTCAAACGACAAGTCGGAGGAGAAATGCACGAAAGTAATACAAAACACGAATTGAAATACACCATAGCACAATTAACACCCCGAATCGCCAAAAAGCTTATTCGGAATCTCACGACGATGGGCAACAACAAACGAGAGAGCGCACTAGAAACAGCTCCGGCACTAAACAAATCGAGCGCTTTTCGGGAAGAGGAGAAGAACGGCGTTTCTTTTTTTACCTGATCGAGACGATTCGCAAAGAATCGCCGTCGGGGAAAGTGCTAGGAGAAGAGTGAGGAGAACGAAGATGGAATTGATGGAATCGCTAAGAAATGGATCGGTCATGCCATAGCCATGGACTAAATACAAACCCTAGAAACCTAATCCACAGCGCGTCCAGTAACGGCGCGGGATGACGAGGTTATATAACCCGTTGTTGCTCTCTCTCTCTCTCTCTCTCTCTCTAGCCTCCTCCTTTTTTTCTCTCTTTACTCTTTAGTTGGTGGTTAGTTTCTCTTAAATCCAAAATGTTTGGGTTAAGGAACAATATGTCACTCTAATTAGTATATAGAACTAGGTGGCGATGTTGTATCTTGTTGCGGATGGAGATGGCATATAGGCATGTATTATGTAGTCTGTTATGGTGTTTTGTTAGTATAATTAGTCTAAAATTAATTTTTTGTTAGCAGTTTTGTTAGTAATATTGACTTGACAATAAGATATTGACAGATAAGAGATATATAACTATCAACATCCAATTTAAAAAATTTTGGAAATTTTGGCTAATAACTAATATTTACCTAAGTCCAACTAGCCTTATTGATTATGAGTGGGGTATAAGGGCTCAAGATAGGGTGCATAACCATGGGTTATGCATCCATTAATAACCAAATTTGAACCCTTCATTTAGAAAATCCAGATCTAAGGATGGAAAATTAAGGACCATTTTTATGTTTCCTAGCTTTCTTAATCGGCTCATATCTTTTTCGTTTTAACTCGGATTTTAATTTTTTTTGCACAGATGGAACGAGTTCATCGTGCTCTACCAAATGAGAACAATTTTCAATATTTTTTTAGAAAAAAAAAATTCTGGCCTCTCGGTACCAACTGCATACCATATGGTATCTTCTTCGTTTTTAATTCGTTTTTGAAAAAGTTTGCACAGAAGGGACGAGTTCATTATGATCTATTGGATCTACAAATTTCTGGGTGAACAAATTACAGGACCAAAAAATACCACACAATACCATACAATACCAACCTGGTACGGGGTGGTATTGTATGGTATCTTCTTCGTTTTTAATTTGTTTTTGAAAACATTTGCACAAAAGGGATGAGTTCATCATGATCTATTGGATCTACAAATTTCTGGGTGAACAAATTACATGACCAAAAAATACCACACAATACCATACAATACCACCCTGCTACGGGGTGGTATTGTGTGGTATACAATGTTAAAAGTCGTAAATGACAATTAATATACTTCTACTATCATGTATTCAACCATCCTACAGTCTTGGTTTGTTCATACCACCATGGTACGTTTTTCAAACCATAGGTATGCTTTTATTTCAATATCAGTCTGGTAAAAAATGGCTCAATTTTTTTTGTTCGAAAAATATATTAAAGTGGATATCATTTTGAAGAGCACAATTAATCTGATCTAACTGTGCAAAAAAAATTAAATTTCGACTTAAAATGAGTGAGAAATCGCCCGTCAAAGATTAAAGAGGGGAAAATTAAAGGCTTTCCAGGAGAGAGAGGATACCAATGTCATGCTGATGTGGGCTGGTTACTCATGGTTACTCACCATAAGGTTACTGACCTAATCCGTTCCCGGGTATAAGTGACCCATATATGGGTTTGGAAGTTTGTAATTGAGTTTGGGTAGGCTATGGATATTTACTTCTACAATCTAAATGTGTATGAGCTGGGTATGAATACCCATTTATTCGAGTGTGTTTTAATTATACATAGAAAAATTAGAATACACAAAAAACTTAGGACTAAAATGTAATGTTCCATCAATATTTTGAGGACTTATATTGCAAAAAAAAAGGATATAAATCTAAAGATATATTAAGTTTAGGTACCGAACTGTAATTTGCATAGTTGAGGCTTGAGTCATTTTATGGTGATGTATTTAAAATGATGATTATTTACTTTTTTTATAGAAAAATGGAAACTATTTATTTGATATGTGTAGATACCTAGCCAAACATTCCATGTATAATTGTTGAAAATTCTAGCCCGGGTGAAGAAAAAAAAATACTAGAGAGAAGCAAAAGGAATACGAGCTATAACTCGCTTAAAAATTCACGCCTTCAAATCCCATAGTGAAAAATGACGACTTTCTAATAAGTAATAACCATATGTATTTTTTTTTAATTGAACTCGACATTGAGCTGAAAAAGTTAGTGGTTCATGGTTCAAATTTTTTTATAATGGCGATAAACTTTTTTTACCAAACAAAACAGAGTTGTATAAACGTAAAAGATCACACTTGATAATGGTTCGATTATTAAATCTCTAGATTGTTGGTGAATCGTGTATGGACCCGTTCATACTTGTGATTAGAATACATAAAAATAGTATAGTAATTAGGATTATTTTTAATGTTTCGCGTAATGAGCAAACATAAAATGGCCAAATTGTATCCTACAGTTGAGTGATATAACATCTTGTATGGTACAAACTAAATTTATACTTTTATGTTATGGTGGATTGGATGCATGGATTCAAGTGAAATCTAAACATTGGACCAATATATAAATTTGAAAAATTGTAGCTAGCTGTGATCACAGACACAGGTGGTATGTGTCACATAGCTGAGTCATTTTATAAAAAGTTGTTGGGGCAGAAGGATACTGAGGTGGAGGCAATTACTGTTGAGGAGATTCAAAGTCTTCTTCAATTCAGAGTAGATGAGGCTCAACAAGCATAATTAGTTCGTATTGTTACTGAGGAAGAAGTCAAAGCTACTCTGTTTGGATTCAAAGGGGATAAAAGTCCGAGGCCTGATGGTTTTCCACCTTGCTTCTTTCAAACATCATGGTATATAATTGGTTCTGAAATTACTTATGCAGTGCAACATTGTCTTTTAGTCTGCTCTCTACCTGAAGGTACTAATTCTACACTATTAGCATTGATACCTAAGGTTTAGAACCCTGAAGAGATGAAGCTATTTAGGCCAATTTCATGGTGTAATACACTTTATAAGTGTGTTGCAAAGATCCTAGCAACTAGGATTAGCACAGTTTTGCCTACCCTAATTAGCCATAATCAAACTGCTTTTATTAAAGGAAGAGTCACTGGTGAAAATATACTCTTAGCTCATGAGTTGGTACAGAAGTATAATAGGGCTGATATCTCACCAAGAAATATAGTAAAAGTAGATATAATGAAGGTGTTTAACTTAGTTGATTGGGATTTTTTTATCACAGTAATGAGATCAATGAACTTTCCTGATTGTTTTGTGAAATGGATTGTCATGTGTGTGACCACTCCAAAGTTGAGTGTGGGGTTTAATGGTGGAATTGTAGAATATTTCTCAGCTAGGAAAGGGTTAAGGCAAGGGGATCCACTGTCTCCTTACCTTTTTGCTTTATCTATGGAGATTCTCTCTTGTTTGATGGGGAAGGTAGTCAGAGATGGTCAAATGCCTATTCACCCTATGTGCAAGAGGCTGGGACTTTCTCATTTAAAGTTGTAGATTACTTACTACTGTTCTCAGACGGGTCAATTTGCGGAATTCAGTATATATAGAGGATTTTGGGGGAATTTAGAAGAATATCTTGTGTGAAATCAAACCCTTAGAAATGTGACTTATTTTGTGGAGGGCTCCCAATGGAATGACAAATTCAGATGGCACAGAGGGCAGGCTATAAACTGGGCTCACTCCCAATCAGATATCTGAGATTCCCTCTAATCCTTGGAAAGATTTAAATTAAAGCATATAAGCCATTGATAGACAAGATAACTGGCAGAATCCATAGTTGGAAAACAAAGTTTCTTAGATATGCAGGACGTTTGCAACTTGTGGTGTCTGTATTAGCTAGCTTGACACAGTTTTGGATGACAGTTTTTATACTGCCTAAAAGGGTAATCAAGGAAATAGAGAAGCTTTGTAGTGACTTCTTATGGGGAGTTGGGACTGATGGAAAGAAGAGGGCTACAACAACTTGGCACTTTTTAACTCTACCTAAAAAAGAAGGTGGATTGGGAATAAGGGATGTTATGAGTTGGAACTTTTCGCGTGTGATTAGGCATATTTGGCTAATCCTCTTGCAACAGGGATCCCTATGGGTGGCATGGCTGAGGGAATACAGACTCAAGAACCATGATTTTTGGACTTTTCAATCAAAAACTGGATCTTGGATTTGGTTGAAACTGTTGAAAAGTAGGGATAAAATTTGCCAGCAGATGTCTATGGTGTATGGAGAGGTCCTTTGGAATGGTAATGTCATGAAGAAATATAGCATAAAGATGGTTTGGGAGGAGTTTAGTCCTAGGGAGTCTCCAATCCCCTGGTATTCTCTAATCTGAAAAAATCCCTCAATCCCCAGGGATCAATTCCTTATTTGGCTTGTGGTAAAGAACCATATCACAACCTGAGTTGTCCAAGGAGGAAACGACGAGGACTTAAATGTAGATATTTCCTAGTTCATAGGTGTTATTGTAAACATGTAAACTATGAGTACTGTATAGGTAATTTGTAGTTGATATATATATGTGGTATTGTAAAGGATAATGGAATTTTTCTGCTTCCAATTAATAAAATGCGCCCGATGGCTTCCCTAAACGACATGGTATCAGAGCGGTGAAATTCACCATTCTTGTTTTTTCTTGACTGTTCAGTCATCTTCTTTTGGCTTCTCGAGGTTTTCGGGAGAAAGGAACAGCTCGTTCATTTCTCTCCCCTCTGTTTCTGCTTCTCGATCCTTCGATCGATTCGATCCAGTTTCCGCTTCCTCTGTTCTTCAGTTCGTTCGATTTTCCTCTGCGAAGATCGCGTTTCCTGATTCTTGATTCAGTCTGTTAGTTGATTTCACAAATCGTAGATCTAGTTCCATGACGACTTTCTCTGCCGTCAACGCGACGTTTTGTCCGCCTTCGTCTGGTGCTGCGACGGGAGGTACTGGCGGTGTTCCTCCGGTTTCCAGTGATGTTCCTCCGGTGAGTGCCATGGCGGGTGGTTCTGCCGGCTCTGCGACTGTCGGTGCTTCACTTTCGCCGGTGCATCCGTTTTTTGTAGCCAACGGCGATCTTTCAGCTCAACAGCTTGTGACGGTGCCTCTCTCCGGTTCCAACTATCACAGCTGGGCAAGGTCGATGCGAATGGGATTGCATGCAAGAAACAAGCTCCCACTGATCGATTCTGGTTCACCAGTCCCGACGCCTACTGATCCTCTTTGGAGTGCTTGGGATCAAGCCAATGTTCTCGTGCTCGGTTGGATTCAGCGATCTGTTGCTCCTGAGATTGCACAGAGCATCCTATGGTTCAACACAGCTGTGGAAGCCTGGGAGGACCTTC